ATAATTAAACAAAAAATAATTATGAATGTTTTCAAGACATTATAACAATATATATCAAATTTTTAAATGTATTATTTTTCATTTTGATAATTTTTTTGGAATGAATTCTATTAAATTCTAATTATTAAATCATCATTTTGATAATGAATGTAATTGTTTAAGAAGCATAATTACAATCACTTTAAAAGAAAGCTCGCAATTATTCTTATGCCTGCTCATTAAATATCATTTTTATAATTGCTTTCATAATTCACCAACTTTAATATAATCTGATTACTTTTAATCCATAATTGTAATTTAATACATTTGAATATCAATTATTAAGTGATAATTCTTTTAAAGAATCTGAATGGTGTTTTACATTTGCATTTAACTAAGATTCAACCATTTTAGCTGCTGGATGCAAATCCTATATTAAGATATATAATTTTGCTAATGGAAAGACTTAATTAAATTAGACATTAAATAATATCAGTTTTGTTAGAACAATTTATTTTATGAAGAAATCATAGAGTTTTATTTCAGGAGAGGAAGATTCCACTATTTCAATTTGGCATCAAAATTCAAATAAATAATGGTTTTTATTTTAAAAACTTATAGAACATTCTAAAACAATTAAACATGTCATTATGAATAGGAATGAAGATCTTATCATTTCATGTAGTAATGATAAAACAATTAAATTTTGGATCAAATAAAATGAATGGATATGCTCACAAACTATTTCAAATCATACTTCAAGTGTTTTAAGCTTAAGTATTAATGAATCATAAGATAAATTAATCTCTTGTTCTGAAGATAAATCTATTTTAGTAATGGAGTTTTCAAAAATCACTAATAAATGGGTTGTTATTTAAAGAATCTTTTTAAAGGAACATGGAAGAAGATTAAGCTTTATAGGAGATGATTAATTTACATTCCAACCAAAAAATTAAGATTTATTATAATTATATGAATGGAATGCTACATCTAGAATTTTCAATTTAAAAATGCTAATTCCAGTTAATAGCACTAATGATCTCAATTATTATTTTCCTTAATAATTTATTACTTAGAAATAACTATTAATTAATAAGAATGGCAATTACATCAATTTGTTAAGAAAAAAGTCTGATTAAACATTCATTTAAGAAAATTTAATTAAATTTAATACAAACTAAATATTTGGAATTATGAATGATTCTGGAGATTATTTAGTTACTTGGGATTAAGATCAAAAATAAATACAATTCAGAAAATTTAGTGAATTATGAATATATTTAGTTTTAATCAATCTTTGAACTTATAAACATTTCATATCTCATAAAATTCTTATTCTATCAAATTAATACTTTTAAGTATTTTTTGATAAATTAAATAAATTTAATTAAGAAAGCAAAAATATTGAATTAAAAATAAAGATAATTTAATTAAAATCTGAAATATAATATTAATTACAATCATTATATA